ACTGAATTAGAAATTGAACAAGCTAAAACTGGCAAACTCATGCTGATAATTGACCTGAACTGAAAAGGAAAAGCACAACATTGAAATAAGACATTAAAAATCTTAGATCCAAAATTGCAAGAGATCTTGCTCAGTAGTAAAGGGAACACCTCGGTTATGCTTTAATGTCATAATTTCAGGCCTTACCAGTCCTCCCAGTAACATCTACCATCACAGAGCCACTGTGCTTTCATTCTGCAGCTCACCAACTACAGCCTCACACTTTCACAGCCTCATGGACTATTTGGCAAGGGCACAGAAACAAAAAAGAGATAATGGTCAATGGAGAAATATAAAGGGACAAACACAATCTGTTTCTGCCGTAGATGGAGATGAATGGGGCATAATCCATTGGCTTCTATCACACCTACCCCGCCTGCACCATGGCTGCTCCCCGCTTAACCGCAATGATGATTAATCCTACAACCACTATTTATATATCCTAATTGTAATTAGCACGAATTATCAATTACGGTTAGTGCCTAATTGCCCTTCATAAAGACAGCTCCCCAGGTTTAAACGGGTCCATTTAAATAATGTAACTAATAGCTCTTGCCTTTACGTTGCGGATACATCTTCATTGTTCCACGCGTGAACCGTGATGGTTGGTCGTAATTTAACAGGGCAATCGAGAGAAGGAGTGCAGGTGGCACTGCGAAACTAATTATTGTTAATGAATTATGATGTGACCTTCTCAGAACAATGGCTAATCAATGCACACGTTGAGTGACAGTGCGCTCTGTGCAGATGCCAGGGACCACATAGCCATTACTGGCAGGCCACAGCCCTGTGGAAAACAGGCAGTTGCAGGAGTTTACTCTCCTTTACTCACCATAGCACTAACCTCTCTGTGGCTGCTGTTGCATTTTTTGTGCGGAGACAACAGGCCGGCCAAAATATCTGTGTAGCCTAATTTTCAGACTAAACAATCTCAAGGTCTATTCAGGGCATTAGGCCAAGACAACTTAGCTTTGTACACGTTGTGCCCTGGTAAGACAAAATGCTGCTTTGTCATCTGACTGTTTTGTGGTCTTTCACAAAGAGTAATCCATACTATTAGCATTTAATGGTCTTGATGATTTTCACTTGTATCACATCAATGCTATCTGCTGTTGACAATTAAATGTAAGCCTGAGCTTAAGGAATGGAAATGAGATCAAATACTCTGATCATTGGTCCATCGCCCACAGCAATCTCACAACTGAGGATCATAGTTTCCATTGATTTCTGGATCCATGTATACCTGCAAAGGTATGTGAATGCCTCAGGAAACTAATGCATGTTGTTAATGAGACAGGATTTTCCTTTTTGAAGAGACTCTACACAACAATGACACGGAAACAGAAAATGACTACAGCTTTGTGCACCTCTTCTCCGCTCATAACTTTGGTTGCATTAACACAATATTGATTTAGTTAGTTTAGTAAGTTATTAAGGAGCAGTGGGGGGAAGAATCTGATCCTGTGTAGTTTCAAGTATTAAAACACATCAGAACAATCATATGCATCAAACTGTATGGAGGGTTTTCACATGAAAACAAATTGGAACAAGGCTTAAAGAAATGAAACTCTGAACTAAACATCTCTGGTCAGTATTCAATAAAAAAGTGTGCACACTTATGCCAATATGACCACTCTGTGTTGGTTCTAAGTTGACAACCTCAGCGTTTGAACTGACCTTTACCTTGCTGTGACATGGGCACAGTATGACTGACAGTGTCCCTCAGCATAATTTACCCGCACCCCACATCACCCTCCATCTCCTGTGTGATGCAGTTGACCCCTTTACAAATCACCCCCAACTTTACACATCTGCTGCCTGTCAGCATCTGCCAGGCGCACTCACCCGTCCCGCCCATAATGAAAAACTCTCATTACTCGCCTCCACCCAACAGGTATACAGGCCGTTAGGACAATTACTGGGCAATGCCACTGACCTTGTTGTCAGAGAGAGAGTCAAACAAACACAGAGGTCTAACTGAAAGGAGGCCTGGCAGCAAAATCCGTAGGCATGCAGTGCAGAGAGCGGACAAAATGAGGGTAGCTTTATGCCTGTTAAGGAGGACTGTACTGTATTGATCTACACTGGCACACATCAACGCCAAGTGCCTCTGAGTGCAGATAAAGTAGAAACATAGGTACACAGCATTCAAATGACCAAAGTGGAGGTTTTGCTTGTTATAGCATATTAACCACAACTTGAGTATGTATTACTGCTGACAATTTTCCAAATATTTCCATAAGTAATGAGGCTGATTTCATGTCAGCGCAGTGTGAAATCAGTTTCAGTTTTCATGTTCATGTTTTCTGTTGCAAGTGCCACATCCAAGATTTGCAATCATCTGCCAAAAACAAGCTTGTCAGATTATAAATAGTAAGCAAACACGGATGCTGTGAAAAAGATTTTGTGGATTTGATGAATTTGGTGGATGTGACTCCTTGATAAAAGAATAAAAAAGCAATAAAAAAAACACAAAATAGTTAAGGTCACGCGCAATGTGAAGTCAAGCAAGTTGGATGTTGATAATAATCATTCTGAAATGAATTTAGACAGACAGGAATCTCAATTTAGTTTGGTATGTTTTTGGAACAGTGATGGAAAGTGTTGTGAGGCAGTTGCCAAAACATGCAAAACCATTAGTATGTTCTTCGGTGATGTTTCTGTATCTTAGAAACCACCGCAATGGCAATGTTTAGGAATCTGGCACAGGGGATCTAACAGTTTCACATAATGGTTCACCAGACACTTGCTGATCCTTTGTTTGAGTCCCACTTTATAGGAGAGCTGGGGAGACAGTGGAGGACTTTAGAGAAAACAATGGACATTACAGTCTGTGAGTAGAACCGCAGCTCATAATGCTGCCCCTGCCATTAGGCAAATTATCTGACGTTTAGCAGACTGGGGGCAGCCTCCCTGTGAAGTGATGACTTTATTGACCCTGGATGGGGGTCTTGGGGGTCCGGGATGGAAGTGTGTCTCTTCGGATCCCTGCGGTGTCTGACAGGGAACACTCCTCCTCTCCAAAGTCTTGCTCTGGCCCGTACAGATTCAGAGCCGAGCCAGCTGCTGTTCCCGCTCTCTGAAGTCTACCTGAGGGCCTCTTTGTCCTCGGGGCTCATCCATATTGTCCCGGTGACCCACATAAACAGATGTCCAGCCACTGGGATTCCTCGTAGGAAGTTGTAAACCTCCAGTGTGCAGTGGGCTCTATTCATATGGAGCGCCTACAGTAATGGCCGTGCAAGTGCCATACACATGCAAATGTTGACATGCAGACACCCTGTAGGGGCGGCTTTAACAAATGTTTGACTATGTAACTACTGCAGACCATGCCGCTCCACCAGACTTTGACTCTGTAGCACTGGAACCTCCATGTAGCAGAGTAATCACTCTGAACTGTATAGGTAACACAGGAAATTATGCAGGGAGGAACTTGTGAGACCTTTAATAGTGTGCAAACACAATCAGATCCCCCATGTCACTAACACCAGACAAGACTACAGACAGAGGAATCGCCTTATGCCTTCGGTCTGTCTCATCTACTCACAATGTAGACCTCACAGGCTTAGATGGTAAAATATGTTAATGCATAAACATGTGGAGCAAAGCAATAACTCAAACCACTGCTATCCTTAAAAGGAAAGTACATTTTGAATATATTCTAATTTTACAAAAATACAGATTTGAAAGAAATTATAGGAGAAGCATTAACTAAAAAAGCTAATAGTTTAGGTCATTCAAGGACAAGGGAGTTAAGCGACGCATTCTTCCCTTTCCTGTGCTGCTGCAGTTACTGGTTTGGCCCTCCAGTATCCAAAATGTCTGTCTGTAGCCATCAGGTTTTATCTGTATTGGACACCTGCTGAGAATATTGATCCTGTGCTGGTTTCACCATTTTAGCCATCACCAGGCATCAACCTTTAAACAACCCTATGTCACTTTATATTGAATACTAATAGCAAAGGCCAGGGCGCAGACTGATTGTGAATATAAATCTATCACTTCAGGTGAGAAAACAATCAGCCAGATTCATTGTACACCTGCAATTTAGTGTGGGAGGATTTAAAGAAGCATCTTGAATAGTGATTCATCATGGATCCTTTCAGTTTGTCCAAAACACACGTCCTTATTTAGTTTTCTCTCTGGAGCAAGTAGAAGAGTGTTACCAGTGCAAAATAAAAGCCAAAAAACAACAAACCTTGATTTTGCAAGCATTGTTTCCCATTGATTAAACTGTATGTTGCTGCAGCATAGTGCAATGCAGTGCAAATAATATGGGAAAGGCTGTGCTGGGAATATTCTTATCACTGTTTCATGAAAACAACAACAACAACAACAAAGATATAAAACGAATAATAAAAGACACCTGCAATGAGCAAACATTCTAAAGGATAGAAGGCTAAACCATTAGTTACCTTCAGAACTGTATTGATGCAGTTTTAAATTCAAGCCAATTTAAGGTGCCACAGTGTCTAAAATGTTAATGAAGCACAATGACTTAATGCCTGGATATATTTATCATCTGTGGACCCCTAAATAGTATTCCAACACCTGGATACCTTATAAGTAGCTATCAAGGTGTGTGATTTTCTCTTTCAGTTAATTTTTATTCCTTTATACATCTACTAATGTGTGCTTAGTGACACCTTTAAACTGAAGAGGCTGACGTTTCAGTACATTTTTACATCTTATTATAAAACGATGACAATGATTTGTACTGACAGGAATCCTGATGCTGCAATATGTCCATGAATAGCCAGCGCTTTATAAACAGAAACCGTTTGGTTTTGATTAATAGAAAGTTTTTGTTCTGTTGCTCAAGGGACACCCCCCTCCTGGCAGTAAATCTCTAAAAGAGTCCAATTTGGGGAGACAGGGCGATCTCTGATATGGATCAAGTGCCATCTGTGCCCAATTTACTTTCAGGTCGTGGATTATTGAATTTAATGATATGGGTGATTATCGACGAATGCTTTGAGCCCATTAGGTGGTCGTGTGAAACACTAATAGTGTTTGTGTCACGTGTCTGGTTGAGAGACTGGGGGGACAGACGCTTTAAAGACCGCGCTCCGGTCATCTCATTCAAGCTGCAAGACTGACAGACAGAAGCAGGGGAGCGAAGTCCACATTCCGTGGGATCACCACCACTAATCCGGTTTGATGAAGCTTGAAGAAAAGAAGTAGGCTAAACTATGAGAAGTTCCTCTCCACACGCGTAATTACGCACGTCAGTCCTTTTTCTATCTTTAAAGGTACTTCTCTATAAAGGATGCTGGACCCCAAGGACTGTGGAGTGACAATGACGTCCAGTCATAAGATTTCCTTTTCTATAATTGATATATTGGATCCGAACAAATTCAACAGCAAACGGGTAAACGAACTTTCCACCGTCAATGAGAAGTTTCTTGTGCCAAATGAAGAGGGGACAAGTCTGGTGTCGGACAACACTGCGGGCGGAGACTTCAGAGTTGAGAGCGGGAAAGCAGGTAGAGAAAAAAATTTTAGAATATTATTCAGCCTTAAGCTTAAACGTGTGTTATTTTGCATTTTTAAATCGCACTTACTTCAAAACATCCAGACTTATCAACAAATGCGTATCCATACACTGTCGTGTCTAAACACTGCAAAATAGGAGCGCATGAATAAAATACATCTTTATTATGAAATCTTAGAATAAAAACTTTTTGCTCTAGACTAAAAATCAGTAAGGGAGACGCAATTTTCTATCACATTTATGTCATCTCTGTATGACCTTCCCTTAATTTCCAGGGTTGCGTTTCCTTTCAAGGAAGCCACAAAGGCTTGCTCCCAGAGCCCCTGCGTGTGATTGGCACTGGGACAGGCAGGCTAGATAATTGTTTAAATCGTCCCATTGAGGATGCCTCCGCGCGCTTTGATCGATATCCCATTACTGCATCCTGCATATCTCCCTCTAGCACCTTGCAGGTACAAACTTCACACCCCATCCATGTCTGATCCTAAATATCGTTCGATTAAAACTTCCCTTTAAATAGATGACATTTATCGACCCACCCGCAAATATGAAACTCCATTAGCACGTCACGGCTGAGGTGGCGGAGCTGGATTTAGACGGGATTTCTTTCCGCAACATGACATTTGAAGCGCTGTGTGGTTTATAAATTATTTAAGGATTAGTGACCAAGTCTCCCCCTTTTTCTGAATCTATGCTCGGTTCTGCTCGAGCGACCTCAGGTTCCTAATCACACACTCTGCAGATGTCAATTTTAGGCCTTCTGTGTTAAACTGCAGTTCAGAAAGGACAAAGAGAAACATTAGTGCGCAATAAGGATACATTTCATTGGCAGGTGTGGACCTTCTGTCAGGAGCTGTTCTTTCAGTACCAGGGCCAATTTAGCCCCTTAAGCCAAAAGCTAGGCTTTTTGGCACTTTACTTAAAACACAGACATATCAGAAGGTCAAATCAAATATCACTAGCTACCTCTTCAAACATATTTAATCTTATATCACCGTATTTCAACTTTATCACAGTCAACCAATTACATTTAAGAACCATCAGGGAAGCCAAGCCCTGATGTCCAATTTTGTTAAATTAAAGCACTGATGTTTCCACCCTCAAAAATATTTTGCCACAAAAACACGAATCGAAGATGGATGGATTTGACTGGAAAATGAAATATTAATGTCTCAAATCTAGCAGTTCCTCACATTATCCGTTCGATGCTAAACCTGCTGCAGAGGTTTGCGGTTTGCAGGATGTGAGCTAAGTTTTCTTCTTTTATTTACAGGGCAAGAGACAGGAGATGAGTACTCTGCGGCCTCCGTGCATAATGCAGTTGTCGCTGACCCTCTTCTGCTTTCCCAACCGGCTGAAACAGAGCCCTGTCTCACCGCCGAGCGGGACGATGGAGATACAGCGGTCATCCTGCATGACCCCTCACCACACAAGCGGCGGCGCCCCGACCAGGCCTGCGCCAAACCACGGCGCGCCAGAACAGCGTTCACTTACGAGCAACTGGTGGCTCTGGAAAACAAGTTCCGCACAACTCGGTACCTGTCTGTGTGCGAGAGACTAAACCTGGCCCTGTCCTTAAGTCTGACTGAAACCCAGGTCAAAATTTGGTTTCAGAACAGAAGGACCAAATGGAAAAAGCAGAACCCCGGTGCGGACAGCACCTTGCAGCCCGGCTCCAACTCCCTGGTCAATGTCAGTCCAAACCCTCCCACCTGTGGGTCAAACCCCGCCAGCTTCCACCAATCTTTCCCCAACTTCAGCTCTGGAAATGTGATCTTCCACACGGCCGGTGGTGTTCCGCTTTCATCCACTGGAGGGCTCTTGCATCCCTTCGTGTCCAGTGGTTTCGTCCAGCCGACTTATTTTAATCCACATCTATGAAAGGAGTCAAGACTGAAGTGTTGCAGCTGGTGATGCTTTGGGGCAAATCGTTAACAGTTGCTTTAATACCATTTTATTCTCTACAAAGGGAGGACAAGAAAGGCATCTATTTGTACAATATTGTGTCTTTCCATCACCATATTGTCCAACTGATTTACCTTGAAGGGAGTTTAAACATTATTAGAGTCCAAGTAGTCTTAGGACCTTTTCCAGTACTTCAACATCAGAACAAAAGGCCAAAATGAGTGATCTGTGACTGAGCCCAACAATTATTAAAACATATGCCTACAGTGCTCCCCTAGAGTGTCCTTGTGTTTCCTGAAACACCTGCTCATTGAAGGATCATACAGTATAATTTTCTGTGTATTGTCTTACATCTTAAAAGTTGGCATATTACCATCCAATACCCAGCTGTGTTCCCACCTCTCAAAGGCTTGCACAGCTTATGTCTGTTGCAATTTATATAACATTATCAGTGTAACTTAATTAAAAAAACATATGACATCTGTGTGTGGCTTAATTGTGTATTAGCCTATAGTAAAACATTTCAAAAGAGGATGAATTTCCGTTGCATCCCTCTTTACATTAATTTGGCAAAAAGTGAGTGAGATCAGTAATAGGTTTATAATAGTGGTAGATTACTGTCCTTGTTAAAAGGCTCAGTAGAAATGACTCATATGCAGCCTTCTCCTGGGCAACAAGGCTGATTACAAAAATAAGTGTAAGAAGAGGGATCTGACTTCCTTTAACAGGGACACACATTATTTAACTTGTTTTTTTTCAAGCTCCAAGTTTGTTCATTACACTGATGGAAAGTGCAATTCCTCAAGGAAAAATGTGAGCTACTTGAATATTTTCATTTCAAGTAACTTTATACTTCTGCTATACTGCATTATAGAGGTAAATATTGTACTTTTCCCCTCCCTTCAATTGTATGATGGCTGAAATTACTAGTTACTTTGCAGATAAAGATTTTACATACAAAACATGTGATGAGTTTGCATAATATGCTGCATTGTTATCACTTAAATTACCCAACAGTATATAAATCCATGTTAATCAATCTAATAATATCACATGTGGGGATACCACTAACTAATAAGGTGCACTTTTAAAAGGTTTATAAGCTGTAAATAATGTCTTTATTATTGGATAATAATAAGCCATTAATAAGAACAACTTTTGGGTTCTCAGGTTGTTAAAAATTCCTCATCTGGCAGGACATTTGTTTCTCTTTCTCTTAAACCCACAATAATAGATTTGGCCACTTGGGGACAGCAGTGATGGCTTATTAGAAATTGAGAAACCTGTGACCCTTTATTAATAACATTTATAACTGCAGATATGTTACTCATTAGCAAGTGAGAAACCAAAGATTGATTCATTAAAGTGAAGTAAAATGTTCTGCTGGATGATGATTTCCCACAACCTGGCAAGCCAAGCCAAGTGTCGTTCTTATTAATAGCTAATCTCAAGCATTAGTTATAATGTATTAATCATTAATAAAGCCTTTAGTTACATTTTACAAATCCTTAAAAATAGTGCCTTAATTGAAAGTGGTACTAATATACTGTATGTATATTTAATAATATAAAGGGGCCATTATGGGTGAGAAGCTACTTTTTAGTACATCGTGCTGCCTATACTTTTGAATGCAAGACTTTTACTTGAATGCTTAAACTCTTCTACCACTGGTCATACTGAACAACCTTCACTTACATAGTACAACCACAAAGTGTCACCATTCCCTTTCTTTCTTTCTTCCTGTAGTCTGTCAGTCTACATGCAGACACTATAGTGGAAGAAAAGACCAGGTCATAATTAAACACTAGCTGACTCTATTTACTGGAATCAAGAATATTTTATGATCATCAGTGTCATCTGTTTTAGGATTTATGTATCCTTTATATGTAAATATTTAACTTTTAATTGGATCTGTTTAATATGATGTGCTATGACATAGTGGTTGCTGTTGTGCTATTAATCTTACTTTTATCATAGAAATGTTATGTGTTTTGTGAACACTAAACCCATTCTCTTCGTTTTCTCATTGTAAGTCAGTGAGACACTTTCCAGATGAAATATATATATGAGGCATTCACTCATTCCTTTATATGAATGAGAAAGTTTCAAATTTGTAGAAGAGCATTTTCGTGAGGGCATGGTTCAGTCCCTACATAACCACCAATCACTGCTCTCCCCGTAGAAGGTCAATGACCCTCTGTCTTGCTGCTACAGTGCTATTTTGAACTGTTATGAGTCAAATGCATAAGTATTGGATACTACAATATATTTCTTTCACACAGAGAGAAATTTGAAAGATGGAGCTGTGCAGCTGTAGTTAATTGCAGACCTCAAGTTAATTCATCGCACTATTGGTGTAATTGGTGAATGATTCTGGGGAATACACACTTCTATTACCCTTCACTTCATTTACATCAATTTCTGCCTCCATGTGTAGCAGGTGTGCATGACTGATGTTACCTCTCAACCTCTGAGCTAAGAAACGTCAGCCAGCAGAACAGAACTGGTACAACAGCTAAAGGTAGCCAGGATGATCAGACAGTCCTACAGTAGAGGAGGCTTGAAACCTACTGTCAAGCCAGTGTCATTAATTGACATCTTTCAGGGGTGTGTTGTTCTTTTACTACTTTGATCTGCAATACACCAGTTGAATAAGCGGCTTCTGTCTATATCTGCAGACAGTGAGTGTGCTGCCGGGGGAAGAGACAGGAGTGGAGCATACTGAGAATGGCTGGTAGGCAATTTTCTCCTGACATCAGCTTGACGGTTGGAGGGCTGACAAGCATCCTTCAATTAGATGGAATTTTCTCACTGCTGTCAAAACCTGGCCAGTGTCAACTTGTCACTGAGTTGCTGGTGTTAATGTAGCTGCAATTCTAGCTTTTTCGGTCTCATAGTTTTGAAACCCCACCCCTCCTTGCCTTTTACATATGCATACCTTGCACAACACACATTAATTAAAAGCTGGTATGCTTCCATTTAGATTTGCTTGGTCTGACTGGTGCATACGAATGCCCCCCTTTGGTTGGGTGATATTTTTCATTCCAACAAGGCATGTTGCTGAAAAATTTGACAGTTTTGATCAATACTCTGGAAAATCTGGCATAAGGAACCCATTCCATATTTTGGCTTGAGGCAACTGTTATATCACAATGTGATGAATAATTTTGGTAAGGTATCTAAGGGGGTTATTTAGGTCTGGGCGAAGAAGGCACGTGTTTAAAATTCATGTTGGAGAGTGCTCTGGGACAAGGTCAGATGTTAATAGTAACAGTGCTTTTCATGTCTGCGTGTACATGTGTGTGTGCATGTGTGTGCGCAGAGATATGGGGAGAAAATTCCATCTACAGGCCCTGCTCGCTTTTGCAGAGAAATGAGTGGGAGGCTTGAATAAATAAAATGGAGCTGAGGATTTCCTGGTATGTGTGTATGTGTGTGTGTGTGTGTGTGTGTGTGTGTGTGTTTGTGTGCGCTATCTTCAGCCATGGAGGTCCACAGGGACAGGCATCATTTCCATTGAGGTTAACAGGTCAGATGGGAAGAGCGGGTGGTGGGGTGGGAGATGAAAAAACACATGGGAAGAGAGACCAAAGAGGTTTCCAGGTAGAACATGGTGTTTTGTAAGGATACAACCATACGTTATTCCCTCTGATTATTTACTTGATATTTCATTTATGATTACCCACAAGACATAAATTAGCACTTAGTCCTTGACACTAAATGAAAATTAGCTTTCATGCTGATTTAATCCTAGAAAGGTCAAGTGTGTGATTGATTGCCTATTTAAATGTTATATCTGAAACATCTAAAACCTGCATTGCATTAGCACCTTATAAAGTTGATAAACTAGCGAGCAAAGAGAACAGTGGCATCATATTTTGAGTCTTATTCGTGTCCATCTGATGAACAATAAGTCCAATATTCACTCTCCTTTCGGTTCTAATTTTGGTCTCCAGTACCTCCTGAGAGAAATTTGTGACTCTTTAGCAGCTAAAGGCTTCACTATGTTCACCTAGTCAATACCTTTGCCTGTTTTTGGTGCTGGACAAGTAACATAGAGTGGATTCATTTCACTGACAACAGTTGCCTGCTGGAAATAACGTTGATGAGTGTTAAGACTGAACCAAAATATTAAAGTTGTGGATGTAAAACCAAAACAGTGAGCTGAGAAACGTTAAACAACAGTGAACAATCAGGGAACAGCAGGAACGACTACCTCGTTGAGTGTTAAAGTTTATTCTTGACATCTAAGCAAATGGATTTCACTCAGTTACCATAGAAACAGCTCATTTGTCGTCACGACCTTGACAAGGACAACTGAGTAAACTCCATCCACTAAGGATGCCAGCAAGGTGCAATTAAAAGCCCTGTAAATAGCTAGTAGGTGGACCTTGAGATAAGAATTATTTTTATTATCTCTTTGTCAAAACACATTTTTATTCCTCTCAATTCATTTTTTACATCCAAAGTTTCTATTGTACAATCTAAGCAAACAGCACATGATAAGTATTATAACTGTTATTGCCCTGAATTAATGAAGCAACACGACATTTTAACTATGTATCTGTGTATATGCAAAGCAGCTTTTAACGTGGTAGTGAGGATTCACCAAGGTGGTTTATTTATAAGCCGCAATGGCAGCAGTTCAGATATTTGCTATTGCTGCCTATTAAAAACTCTTTCTCTGAACATCATACATTTTTACATACATCATTACAATGGGGTGTTCTGAATATGGTATGTATAGTAAGTATGTGGACTGATTTCATTCTTCTATATGCTGCAGAATACAGTGGGCAAGTCAATTCAACAGACACAAGATCAGGTATAGTTTAAAGATTTAAATATCACTCTGAGCTCATTATCTGTAATGTCTGAACAGAGTGTTTAATTGGAGAATAAACTTTGCCACATCACTGTGAAAGCGCACTCCTGAAGAAAGGCCCAGGTTTTTACTATTAATGTATAACTGCAGCAAATTCTCTTTTATGATTCAAGGGGTTTAATACAGTAGAATTGAATACTTTTTGAAGCAAATGCTGGTCCTCATGGAGACATCCTGCTTTTGCTTCAGTCATTAGAGGTTTGTTTGACATCTCTTTTCAGATGCTTTGTATTTCAACTGCATCCTCCAGCGCAGCAGGGACCCCGGCCAAGGCAGAAGGAGAAAAAAAATGATTTCTTCAGTACCAAGAGGAAGTCAGCAGAAAGAAGGAGACGACTTGTAATGGTCTTTTAATCAGCTGTAGAAAGTGAAAGTCAGGTTGAGGTTCAATGGGGGTGGGATGAGTCCTCTGAGGTTTAGGTCTTGCCTGTTTGGGAATTCAGACGTGGGCTGTACTGTACCACCTCATCACTGGGACAGTTCAATGACAAACCTTGGAAGCCATAAAAACTTAAACAGCACCATTACCAAGAGCAAGGCTTGTTGGACATCTTTGCACAATTGTTTTATTCAACATGCAG